AAATCTGAATGGGGATTAGTCACTAGTGGCGTCCCACAAGGATCAGTTTTAGGCCCTCTCTTGTTCATAATTTACATTAATGACCTTGATGAAGGAATTACAAGTGACAAGTTTGTTGATGATATAAAAATAGGCCGAATGATTTATTCTGAGGAGGAGAGCAATGTACTCCAGGAGGATTTGAACAAATGAATGTCCTGGTCTGAAAAATGGCAGATGAAGTTCAGTGTTGATAAGTGCAATGAAAATTACCCTCGAAGCTATAATCTAGGTGAAGTAGAGCTTGATCACACAGAATGTGAAAAAGACTTGGGAGTCATGGTAAGCAGAAATCTAAAGCCAAGACAGCAGTGCCTTAGTGTGCACAACAAGGCCAACAGATTACTAAGATTTATCTCAGAAAGTATAAGTAACAGAAGTCCAAAAGTTATTTTACAGCTCTATACATCACTAGTGAGGCCTCATTTAGATTATGCTGCTCAGTTTTGGTCCCCTTACTACAGGATGGATATAGACTCATTGGAGAACATACAGAGAAGAATGACTAAAATGATTTACTGTGTAAGGAACCTCCAACATGAAGACAGACTTAGATTATTGATTCTAGACTTTCTTGGGCTGTATAGCCCTTGTGGCTTAGCGCTTTTTTTCATAATAATAATAATAATAATAGACTTTCTTGGGAGACGTAGAATGAGAGATACTGAGGTGTATAAGTGGATGATGGGAATAAACAAAGGCGATGTTAATAAAGTACTGAGGGTCTTGTATCACGTTCAGAACCTGAAATAACTAATTTAAGTTAGATAAATTTAGATTTAGAGAAGACACAGGAAAGTACTGGTTTTGGTATAAACCTCGGTAATAAATACCGACAAATTGAGAGTGAGGTGTGAGTGAGGTGTGAGTGAGGTGTGAGGTGTGAGTGAGGTGTGAGTGAGGTGTGAGTGAAGTGTGAGGTGTGAGTGAGGTGTGAGTGAGGTGTGAGTGAAGTGTGAGGTGTGAGTGAAGTGTGAGTGAGGTGTGAGTGAAGTGTGAGGTGTGAGTGAGGTGTGAGTGAGGTGTGAGTGAGGTGCAAGTGAAGTGTGAGTGAGGTGTGTCTTTTTAACCTCTGTATATTGGAAACAATCAAGGATCCAGGATCCTGGTCCCAGGACCCTGGTCCCAGGACCCTGGTCCCAGGACCCTAGTCCCAGGACCCTGGTCCCAGGACCCTGGGTAGCTTTAAAAAGAGACTGGACAAATATACATGGGTGGGAGGACCTGGGTTTGACTGGTGTTGATAAGTACCTGCCTTGTATGGGCCAGTAGGCCTTCTGCAGTGCTCCTCCTTTCTTATGTTCACACACACACACTGACACCCCATTTTCTAAATTATAATTTATTTGTCGTATTTTTTTAATTATAATATTGGCGTTCCCGACCATATAATTCCTCTGGGTTGACTCCTGTTATTACCACCTCCCCCTTTCCCCTTTCCCCTCCCCTCCCCCCATCCCCCTCCCCTCTCCCCATCATAATTAAAGCAGCTGTCAACTAATTAACAGCTGGGGAGAGGGGAGAAAAATGAAAATAAGAGGGGAGAGAAGGTGAGGGAGAGGAGAAGAAATGGCGAAGGAAGAGGAGGAGGAGGAAGGAGAAGGAGAAAAAGGAGGGGGGGTGGGGGTAGAAGATAAAAAGAAGAGGGAGGTAGAGAGAGAAGAGTGAAGGAACACCAGCATAACTTGATAAAGCTCTACACAGAGTGAAACATAACTTGATAAAGCTCTACACAGAGTGAAACATGACTTGATAAAGCTCTACACAGAGTGAAACATGACTTGAAAAAGCTCTACACAGAGTGAAACATAACTTGATAAAGCTCTACACAGAGTGAAACATAACTTGATAAAGCTCTACACAGAGTGAAACATAACTGATAAAGCTCTACACAGAGTGAAACATAACTTGATAAAGCTCTACACAGAGTGAAACATAACTTGATAAAGCTCTACACAGAGTGAAACATAACATGATAAAGCTCTACACAGAGTGAAACATAACTTGATAAAGCTCTACACAGAGTGAAACATAACTTGATAAAGCTCTACACAGAGTGAAACATAACTTGATAAAGCTCTACACAGAGTGAAACATAACTTGATAAAGCTCTACACAGAGTGAAACATAACATGATAAAGCTCTACACAGAGTGAAACATAACTTGATAAAGCTCTACACAGAGTGAAACATAACTTGATAAAGCTCTACACAGAGTGAAACATAACTTGATAAAGCTCTACACAGAGTGAAACATAACTTGATAAAGCTCTACACAGAGTGAAACATAACTTGATAAAGCTCTACACAGAGTGAAACATAACTTGATAAAGCTCTACATAGAGTGAAACATAACTTGATAAAGCTCTACACAGAGTGAAACATAACTTGATAAAGCTCTACACAGAGTCAAACATAACTTGATAAAGCTCTACACAGAGTGAAACATAACTTGATAAAGCTCTACACAGAGTGAAACATAACTTGATAAAGCTCTACACAGAGTGAACCATAACTTGATAAAGCTCTACACAGAGTCAAACATAACTTGATAAAGCTCTACACAGAGTCAAACATAACTTGATAAAGCTCTACACAGAGTGAAACATAACTTGATAAAGCTCTACACAGAGTGAAACATAACTTGATAAAGCTCTACACAGAGTGAAACATAACTTGATAAAGCTCTACACAGAGTCAAACATAACTTGATAAAGCTCTACACAGAGTGAAACATAACTTGATAAAGCTCTACACAGAGTGAAACATAACTTGATAAAGCTCTACACAGAGTCAAACATAACTTGATAAAGCTCTACACAGAGTGAAACATAACTTGATAAAGCTCTACACAGAGTGAAACGTGATAATAATGGGAATTTAGACTAGAAAAGGGCATTTCTTTCCCATCTTTTCCACGTAATCCCTCCTCCTTTTCACCTCAGTGCTTCTTTTCCACCTTCCTCACTTCTCCCCCCCCCCTCTCTCTCTCTCTCTCCCTCTCCTGTCCCCTCTCAGTCCCTCTTTTATCGCCTCTCTTAATTACATCTTTAGATAGCAGAAAAGCACCTTAAATCGTAGTAACATTCCCTAGAGTGCGTTAAAGCTATCTCTCTCTCTCTCTCTCTCTCTCTCTCTCTCTCTCTCTCTCTCTCTCTCTCTCTCTCTCTCTCTCTCTCTCTCTCTCTCTCTCTCTCTCTCTCTCTTCTCTCTCTCTCTTCTCTCTTCTCTCTCTTTCCTCTTCCTGTGTACCCCATCTGCTCCTCTTTATTACCCTCTTCTGTCATTCTTCTCTTTATTTCTCCTCCTCTGCCTTCTTCTCCCTCTTCACTCTCTTATAACATTCCCATTTTTCTGTCTTTCTTACCCTCTTCTTCTTGTTTATCCTCTTTTCTCTCTATTGTATTCCGCCTCACTCCTCACTCCTTTTCTTCTGAGAGAGAGAGAGAGAGAGAGGATTATTATTGTTACTCTTTCTTCTTCTCTTTCCTCTCTTTCCTTCTATTCCTCTTTGCTTGCCCGACCCCCCCCTCTCTCTCTCTCTCTCTCCCCTTAGATGCTTCCTCCATCTTTCCCCCCTTACCCCACTCCCCCTGAGGGGACGTGGGACACGGAAGGGGAAGCAACAGGACCCAGACGACATCTGCAACTTGCAACTGGCCCCGCAGGCACATCCGTCACCCGTGTCACCCGTCACTAGTGTCACCTGTCACCCGTGTCACCCCTAGACAGAGGCACCACTAGACAAAGGCACACCACCGGACAGAAGCACCACTAGACAGAATTACCACTGGACTAAAGCACCACTGGATAGAAACGACACATTTGACAGTGGTACCAACAATTCTGTCAATGACAACTGTCGGTGAAAACAGCATCCAGAGATAAGATGGAATCTCTCTCTCTCTCTCTCTCTCTCTCTCTCTCTCTCTCTCTCTCTCTCTCTCTCTCTCTCTCTCTCTCTCTCTCTCCTCTCTCTCTCTCTCTCTCTTTCACACACACACACAACAACAACAACAACAACCTCCACAACGTAACCAATGTTTACCCGTGTTAAAACATTGAGTAACCTTACACAATGAAGCGTAAATATGACTGAGTGGCGTACCTCAAGGGCAGATCCCTGAACCAATTTTGTTTTTCACAACCATAATCTGCAAACAGGGTTTATATCTAAAGTTTCGGAGCTCACGGACGACACAAAATCTATGAGGGGTATTCCTGAGCATCGGAGCAGCGAGAGAGACCTGGCCTAGTCATGTCACATTGATCACACGAGTAGGGAATCAATTTGTAAAGATAATTTAAAAGAAAACTCACCAGAGATTAACTTGAAGATGAGGATTTCTTAATAATTATAAGTAATGATCCAAATTATTCTAAGCCTTGTTACAACTTGGTTGCTTGGTTTATGTGCGTGACATTGTAAGGAAGAACCTGGAACAGTGGTAGGCCTGTGCAATGCTGTCGTCAGAACTCAAATTTAAATAGTCTGTCTAGTTCTGATCCCTTTATTAGGTAAAAGTTAATGAATAAGGCACCTGTGTGACACCTGTGTGACACCTGTGTGACACCTGTGTGCCACCTGGGTATCTTAACGTAGACGTTACGACAATAACCGGCTTGTACATGTATGATACACAATACCGACAAGATGAAGACTTGGATACAGGTACATCTGGGTATCTTTATTTGTAGACGTTTAACCCATCCAGTTGCTTCGTCAATACAATGATATAATGTGAAGACTGTAGAACTATGTAGATAAGATGAGGTAATCCGTCCCTCAGACCTGCAGTTGGTGAAGATCACCGTAGTCTTGAAGACTAGTCCCATTATCACTCTCCCTCTGTATTTCTCTCCTCTGTTTCTTACGTTCCCACTCCCCCCATTATCAGTCTTCCTTTATCTCCCAGCCTCCAGCGTCCCTGTCTCATAGTGTTCTAACTCTTGGTACTGACCTGTGCCTTCGCTTCTTCTTCTTCTTCTTGCCCAAGCTGAGGTTCTGGCCCTCGTAAGTTTTGCTCGTGGAATCGGACGAGTCCAGACCTGCAGAGGTAAACAATGTCAGATCAGTACGGCGCTGCTCTTTGCCCCCCTATATTATCGGGGAAGAGTTAAAACCGTAGGGGGGATATGCATCACCTGTCGAATGGGTCGGAGTTAGATTTTATACAAGTGAGAAGGAATGGGAGTCACCTCCCTCCTCCCTCCCTCTGTTTTTTTTACACAGGGTTCGACAAGGTTAAGGATTCCTAGCTTTATTGACCTGTAATTAGCTTGTCAACAAAGCTAGGGATCCTTAACCTTGTCAAACCCTGTGTAAAAAAAAAATAAAAGGGGGAGGGAGGGTGGTGACTCCCATTCCTTCCCACTCTTATAAAATCTAACTCTCTCTCTCTCTCTTTATATATATATATATATATATATATATATATATATATATATATATATATATATATATATATATATATATATATATATATGTAATATGATATGTATATATTATATATGTATATATATATATATATATATATATATATATATATATATATATATATATATATATATATATATATATATATATATATATATAAATATATATATAATACATATATATATATATATATATATATATATATATATATATATATATATATATATATATATATATATATATATATATATATATATATATATATTTCAACGTATCAGAGTACTTGAAGTATTTTTGACACACTGTAGGCCCATACAAGGTAAGTCCTTCTCAAGCACAAACCCACTTATAATAATAATAATAATAATAATAATAATAATAATAATAATAATAATAATAATAATAATAATAATAATAATAATAATAATAATAATAATAATAATAGGTCTTTATTTCTACAAGTACAAGGAATACAGACCATAGCTGACATCAGTGACATACTACTATATAGAAAGTCCTTTGTTATACAGAGCACTTTGGGCAAATTAGGTCAGTTTTGTCCCAGGATGCGACCCACACCCGTCGACTAACACCCAGGTACCTATTTTACTGCTAGGTAAGCATGGAGAGCAGGCGTCTTAGAGAAACACGTCCTAATGTTTCCACCCGTACCGGGGATCGAGCCCTGGACCTCAGTGTGTGAGCTGAGTGTGCTACCAACCCAATATTTAGCTAAAATACGTAAATTGGCACACTTATAATTGGAACTGAGACTAGAATGGGCATTTGAAGTTAGAGGTCAGTTGATGTAATGGCTTAGAGGTCAGTCACTGCTGTGACCCACACACACCCTGACTGTCTTAAGACACACACACCCTGACTGTCTTAAGACACACACACCTTGACTGTCTTGAGACACACACACCCTGACTGTCTTAAGACACACACACCCTGACTGTCTCGAGACACACACACACCCTGACTGTCTTAAGACACACACACCCTGACTGTCTCGAGACACACACACACCCTGACTGTCTTGAGACACACACACCTTGACTGTCTTGAGACACACACACCTTGACTGTCTTGAGACACACACACCTTGACTGTCTTGGAGAGTGTATGGGGGGGGAGGGGCGGGGGAGAGCAAGAATTGAGGAGATTTGCATAATTAACTTTAAAAGTTAAAGGAGAACGAGTGTGTGTGTGTGTGTGTTTGTGTGTGTGTGTGTGTGTGTGTGTGTGTGTGTGTGAAGGGTGGACACAGTTTATATAATAAGAAGTAAAGAGGGGACAAAAAAGAGACAGGGAAACATAAACAAGGAGGCAAGACGAGAAAGAAGAGTGGCAGGCAGGTGGTAGTGGCAGGTGGTAGTAGTGGCAGGTGGTAGTAGTGGCCGTCTACAACAACCACAACCACCATCACCACCACCAAGGGAGCATCTAGGGAGAGCGTTATAGCCACACACACTCCCTCCTACAAGTCCTTCCTACCCAGGCTACGACGTCCTGCAGCTCCCTGAGGACCTGCCCATGATGGCGACCTCACAGCCTGCCTCTGTCACTTGGCTCGTGGAGAATGTACTTCAGGGGGACATTTGTACTGTGGAAGTTTAAACTACGTTTTGTGGTGATGGTTGAGGTGCAGGGAGGAGGGGTGATTGTGGTGGTTGAAGGGGTGTGGGGGGAAGATGAGGGAGCGGTGATTGTGGTGGTTGAAGGGGTGTGGGGGAAGATGAGGGAGCGGTGATTGTGGTGGTTGAAGGGGTGTGGGGGGAAGATGAGGGAGCGGTGATTGTGGTGGTTGAAGGGGTGTGGGGGGAAGATGAGGGAGCGGTGATTGTGGTGGTTGAAGGGGTGTGTGGGGGTGAGAAATGAGGGAAAGGATCAAAGAGGGGAAAAGTTCCCTGTCAGTGTAGGTACAAAACTGTTTATATACATTATCTATATAGGGTGGTGAGGGCAGGGAAGGAGAGGGTAGGGAGAGAAGTGAGGGAACGGAGATAAACAGGGAGAGAAGTGAGGGAACGGAGATAAACAAGGAGTAGTCTGTAAACCCATATCAAATATTAATTAGATTACTGAGGTGTTGGTATCCAGTTGTTGGTATCCAGTTGTTGGTATCCAGTTGTTGGTATCTAGGTGTTGGTATCCAGTTGTTGGTATCTAGGTGTTGGTATCCAGTTGTTGGTATCTAGGTGTTGGTATCCAGTTGTTGGTATCCAGTTGTTGGTATCTAGGTGTTGGTATCCAGATGTTGGTATCCAGGTGTTGGTACCAGGTATTTGGGAAGGTATTCCCAGGAACAAGTACACACATGCAAATGGAACGTATACTGACCAGAACAAACACCGAGATACACTGAGGTCACACTGCCACACTGAGGTCACACTGTCACACTGAGGTCACACTGTCACACTGAGGTCACACTGTCACACTGAGGTCACACCGTCATACTATGCTCAGTGTAACAACGTCCCACAAGATGGCAGTGAAAGCGTCACCGTAAAATTGGAGATCAATAGCACTAACGTCATACGTTATCGTAGTCTCTGGGGGAGTGAAGAGTCAGGAGTGACAAGCTGGCTAAACCATGTTAAAACAAGACCAGCATGCTAAACCATGTTAAAACAAGACCAATACGGGTTTAGAAGAGGTCGCTGGTATCTCTCGTAGCTGCTATACCAGGTGTAATATGAAGACAGGTGTAATACGAAGAGAAGACAGGTGTAATACCAGACAAGACAGGTGTAATACGAAGAGAAGACAGGTGTAATACCAGACAAGACAGGTGTAATACGAAGAGAAGACAGGTGTAATACCAGACAAGACAGGTGTAATACGAAGAGAAGACAGGTGTAATACCAGACAAGACAGGTGTAATACGAAGAGAAGACAGGTGTAATACCAGACAAGACAGGTGTAAACGAAGAGAAGACAGGTGTAATACCAGACAAGACAGGTTGTAATACGAAGAGAGACAGGTGTAAACCAGACAAGACAGGTGTAAACGAGAGAAGACAGGTGTAATACAGACAAGACAGGTGTAATACAAAGAGAAGACAGGTGTAATACCAGACAAGACGGGTGTAATACGAAGAGAAGAGAGGTGTAATACCAGACAAGACAGGTGTAATACCAGACAAGACAGGTGTAATACGAAGAGAAGACAGGTGTAATACCAGACAAGACAGGTGTAATACAAAGAGAAGACAGGTGTAATACCAGACAAGACAGGTGTAATACGAGGAGAAGACAGGTGTAATACCAGACAAGACAGGTGTAATACGAGGAGAAGACAGGTGTAATACCAGACAAGACAGGTGTAATACGAAGAGAAGACAGGTGTAATACCAGACAAGACAGGTGTAATACGAAGAGAAGACAGGTGTAATACCAGACAAGACAGGTGTAATACCAGACAAGACAGGTGTAATACCAGACAAGACAGGTGTAATACGAAGAGAAGACAGGTGTAATACCAGACAAGACAGGTGTAATACCAGACAAGACAGCTGTAATACCAGAAAAGACAGGTGTAATACGAAGAGAAGACAGGTGTAATGAAGTGGGCAGATAAATAATAACATAAGAAAGGGGGAGCACTGCAGTAGGCCTACTGGTCCATATTTGGCAGGTCCTTCTCAAACCCAAACCAACTAAAAAATATTCGCCCAACCCATTATCAACTTCCCATCAAATCGGTCCTATTATTTTTTTTCCAAATTGCCGAATGTGCTTAAAATCATTGAAATTTAAGAATTAGTGAAAATTATATGTGATAATTTAAATGCAAGAAGGGACTGTTTCCCGATTCTCCCACTGAAATGACCTTTCATAAAAGAGGTGGGGCCAGGAGCTGTGACATGACCCTTGCACACACACACACACACACACACACACACACACACACACACACACACACACACACACACACACACATACATACATACACACATACACACGTAGTCTAGCAAGTGATGTAGTGGAGTCAGGAGCCATACATAGCTTTAAGACGAGGTATGATAAAGCTCATGAAGCAGGGAGAGAGGAGAACCTAGTAGTGATCAGTGATAAGGCGGGGCCAGGAGCTGAGTATCGACCCCTGCAACCACAATTAGGTGAGTACAGACACACACACACACACACCCAGTAGCGGCCAGTGAAGAGGCGGGGCCAGGAGCTGTGACTCGACCCCTGCAGCCACAACTAGGTGAGTACAGGTACAAGCACTGGGACAGGTAAGCCATCCTTATCCCCTGCATTTCCTCTCAGCAACGCCAAAAAAAGACTGAGGATGCTGCCTGAGACACACCATCAGCATCACCCTCACTCCTCCATCCCCCATCTTTAACCCTGTCTCTCCCACCTCCATCTCCACGAGAAAGAACGGGGAACTAAGGAGGAACGACACATGGTGTGTCGTGGTGGTCGTTCTGACTCCAACATAAACTTTACTATCTCCTATTTACCCATTTTTCTCTATTCTCTTTCTCCATTCTCTCTACTCTCTTCTTCTTTCTCCATTCTCTCTACTCTCTTCTTCTTTCTCCATTCTCTCTACTCTCTTCTTCTTTATCCATTCTCTCTACTCTCTTCTTCTTTATCC